TTTTTAACCAGGAACCACAAGGATGTTATCAGCCAAGAAATAACTTTTGTTAATTTAAGGTTTTATGAAGCCCAAGTCCCAGGTCACAAATTCTCAGTAAAAAGTTTCCTTCTTGTTTATACTAGTACGAAGGTTTTCTTTCCTACTCTTCACTGAAGTATGAGTCCTTCAAATCCATTTGTAAGCCTGCGATTTATATAAGGGTTCTAGTCCCCCATTACATAGTTCTGACAGCTCTAACATACAAAATAAAAACTAAGACATTACTAAGACAAAAAAGAGAGAGAGAGAGAGGGCGAGCAATATCCTCTTCTCCATGGCTGCTGCCAAGTTGGCTCTAACCCTACCATGCTGGCTTTTATTTCACTTTTGGCAGTGGTGGCTTTCCCTTTCTTAAGTTTTTCCACTTTGAAGGATAAAATGATTTTCAGGATATCTTGGTCTGCCATAATGCCAAAAAGATGTGTTTTGACTTTGTGTTTTCTATGTAAAACTGACATTATACTTAAGACTTTAACTCAGACAATTCACCTTTGTAAAGTATTTGAATATACTTATACTTACAATATACATACACATACATATATTTTCTTTTCTCTTCTTTCCAATACTTGGGATCAAACCCAGAGCCCTGAGTGTATTACACAAAGGATCTACCACTTAACTGTACTCCAGCCCAAATATTTGTATTTTATTGAGTTTGTAATTCTTCTCTGTCAGGCATTTGTAGTACCTGAGTCAATTTCATATATAAGATTTAGGAGTGTAGTCTGGAATGTTTAAAGCCTATAACTTATTAATGGTATTAGTTGCTTAGGGGGACTTCAATCTGTTAACTTTATAAATTTAACAAAATATAATCTGAAAACATAAGCTTTATGCAAAGTCAAAAGTATTTTATAGCCAGGCACCGGTGGCTCACGCCTGTAATCCTAGCTATTCAGAAGGCTGAGTTCTGAGGATCATGGTTCAAAGCCAGCCCGGGCAGGAAAGTCCATGAGACTCTTATCTCCAATAAACCACTAGAAAACCGGAAGTAGCACTGTGGCTCAAGCGGTAGAGTACTCGCCTTGAGCTGAAGAGCGCAGGGACAGCGCCCAAGCCCAGAGTTCAAGCCCCACGACCCGACCCAAAAATATATATATACTTATAAATGTATCAGTGGTATATAACAAGTCTAAAAAGAACTAAAATTGACGGGCTGGGAAGATGGCTCAGTGGTAGAGTGCCTGCCTTGCATGCCTGAGGCCCTGGGTTCGATTCCTCAGCACCACATAAGAAAAAAGAAAAAAGCCAGAAGTGGCGCTGTGGCTCAAGTGGTTGAGCGTTAGCCTTGAGCTGAAGAGCTGGGGGACAGCGACCAGGCCCAGAGTTCAGGCCCCATGACCGGACCCAAAAAAAAAAAAAAAACTAAAACTGAATGTTAATTTAGAAATAAGTGTGTATTAGGGCTGGGAATGTGGCTTAGTGGTAGAGCGCTTACCTAGCATGCACGAAGCCCTGGGTTCAATTCCTCAGTACCATATAATCAGAAAAAGCCAGAAGTGGCACTATGGTGCTAGCCTTGAGCTAAAGAAGCTCAGGGACAGTCCCTAGGACCTGAGAGCAAGCCCAGAACTGGCAAAAATAATAATAAACATATATAATCATAGTCTTTTGCACACTAGAAAGCCAATCTCCACTTTTTTTTGTAATTTGGACGTCAGTACTAATCAACTCCTCCACAATATAATGAAGTATCAATTTTGCAAATGGTAAATCTTGAAAAACTTCAATTTTCTGTTAAAATTACCCAGCTGTATAAAAAGCCATGTTTCATCAGCAAGTACATTAAGAATTAATATATGAAGCTGGCTGGCAAGCTCACACCTATCATCCTAGCTACTCAGGAAGGTGAGATCTGAGGATTATTGTCCAAAGCCAGCCTGGGCAGTAAAGTCCATGAGACTTTTTTTTTTTTGTCGGTCACGGGGGCTGAACTCTGGGCCTGGGCACTGCCCATCAGATCGTCAGCTCAAGGCTAGTGCTCTACCACTTAAGCCACCGCACCACTTCTGGCTTTTTCTGCTTATGTGGTGCTAAGGAATCGAACCTAGGGCCTCATGCATGCAAGGCAAGCACTCTACCACTGAGCCACCTTCCCTGCCCTCCAATAAACCACCAGAAAACCGGAAGTGGTAGAGCGCTAGCCTTGAGCTGATGAGCTGAGAGATGCTCCCAGGCCTACAGTTCAAGCCCCACCACCGACCTCCCCTCCCCCCAAAAAAAGGGAATTAAGAGCCAGGAGTCAGTGCTCATACCTGTAATCCTAGCTATGCAGGAGGCTGAGCTCTGAAGATAGAGGTTAAAAGCCAGCCTGGGCAAGAATCCATGAAACTCTTATCTTCAATTAATCACCATAGAAGTGGTACTGTGGTTCAAAGTGGTAGAATGCCAGCCTTGAGCAAAAAAGCAAAAAGAGCTCAAGAACAATGCCAGGCCCTCAGTTAAAGCCCCACAACCAACCCCCAAATAAAAGGGAGGGTGATAGTGTATGCCTCTAATTTCTGCCCTTGGGAGGCTGAAACAGGATAGAATTCCAGGCAAGCCTAGGCTACACGTGAGAGCCTGTCTCAAAAAAAAAAAAAAAAAAAAAAATCTGGGCGCCGGTGGCTCAGGCCTGTAATCCTAGCTACTCAGGAGGCTGAGTTCTGAGGATCTCGGTTCAAAGCCAGCCTGGGCAGGAAAGTCAGTGAGACTCTTATCTCCAATAAAAACCACTAGAAAACCGGAAGTGGCTCATTGGCTTAAGCGGTAGAGCGCTTGCCTTGAGCTGAAGAGTGCAGGGACAGCACTCAAGCCCAGAGTTCAAGCCCCATGACAGACAAAAATAAATAAAATCATTCTAGCTCATGCCTGTAATCCTAGCTACTCAGGAGGCTAAGATCTAAGGATCAAAGTTTGAAGCCAGCTGGGGCAACAAAGTCCCTGAGACTTTATCTACAGTCAATTATCAGAAAACCAGAAATGGAGCAGATCTGTGGCTCAAAGTGGTAGAGTGCTAACCTTCAGCAGAAAAGCTCAGGGGCAGCGTCCAGGTCCTGAGTTCAAGCTCCATGACCACCACCAATAACAACACAAAAAAACATAGCTGTTTTTTTGTGTTGTTGTTGCCACACTTGCACTCAAACTTGATACCAGACACACCAGCTCACTGGCTGGTGCTCTACCAATTAAGCCACATCTCCATTTCCCCCATGGATGTACAATTTTATTTATATTTTATGCCAAGGGTTACTTCCTAAAGAAGTACTTCCGTATCCTTTTCAGGAGCTTTACATTTCATGCTGAATTATGTACCTGATAAAATATGTATATAAATACACACACAAAAATATCTACTTCTAAAAAAAAAAAATATCTACTTCTCTGAGTGTGAATTAAACAGAAATTGAAATTCAATACCATTTACAGGTTTCCCATTAGGTCCCCAATATTCGGCGCCTTACAGTCAAGGAAATTATATAATTCTCCTGATCAATTTTTCTTGCTCTAATTGTTGGTTTTTCTTTGGTGCACTAAATTACTGAGTGTTCATTAATGTTATTAGGTTAGCCCTTAATAAGACTGGCACTGGTGGCTCTCTGGAATTCTAGCTACGCAGGAGACCAAGATCCAAGGATCACAGTTCCAAGCCAGGCTGAGCACTAGTTAGTAAGGTCCATGAAGACACTCATCTCCAATTAACCACTAACCACCAAAAAAGCTTTAGGGGAGCAGTGGCTTAAGGGGTAGAGCACCAACTTTCAGCAGAAAAAGCAAAGGGGTATAGCCTAGGCACTGAGTTCAAGACTCAGTAGTAGCGCAAGGATGCCCACGAACGTTTTTGTTTCACCCAAACCGTAAGGCTTCGGGAAATGTTTTTCTCGATGGGAAAGTGTTCATCCGTCAGGAGTTACTAGTACATGGATACTCTAGTCTGGGTAACCTGGGATGTAGCCCAATAGAGGACCTGTGCAATCAGATCCTGCTAAATCAAGAAGGCTTCCACACTCTAGCAGGATCCGAATTGGCTGTCCGGCTGTCCTCAAGGGCCCACAGTCGCCTTCTCGGTCCCACACAACAGAGGGGCCTTCTCTCGGCCAATGTAACTACTTCGAGGAAGCAACTGTGCCTTTGCTTTGGTCTGTGTGTTTTCAGGGGAAAGCCGTGTTAACACCTACACGGATTTAATCAAGAAAAAAATAAATAAATAAGCAGCAAGGGTTCACTTTTAAATTCTTTCAAGAGACAACTGGAGATGGAAGGTGCAACGACAGAGGTAGCTGAATTTTTTTCCAAAAAACACAACAAAAACAAAAAGCCCTCAACTTGAATCCGGGTGGTTACTGCAGAGGCAGCGGCGAGAAGAAGCGTGATCTCGTGCAAGAGGCCATGTCCTTGGAAAGGGCTCCCAGAGCCTCAAGGCCCCCCCCCCCACCCCCGCCACGTTATGAACGGAGTGAGTCAGGCAGGCTCAGCTCCACTTCGCAGATGGGGGAAACTGAGGGACGAGGCGGCCAGATGCCGGGCCCCGAAGCCTCGCTGGGCGATGCTGAGGGCGAAGCGGAGAACCAGAAGCTCGAGTTCCCTCGACTCCCCTTCCCCTCCCCGCCCCTAGGATGGCGTAGACGGCCTCCGCCCCCCCCCTCCACCCCCAATTCACACACACACACACACACACCCTCGGCCGGGAGCGACCAGTCTCCCCGGGTTCCAAGGACAGGGTCACAAGCCCGGTCTGCGAAGCGCTCCCGCCAGGATTTGCAGCCAGAAAGCGTTGGAAGCATGCGTGCTTCCAGTCCAACATGGCGGCGCCGAGGCCCGGCCCCCCCCTCCCACACACACACACACACACACACACCCAGGCCTCCCTCAGGCCGGAGGCTTTCCCTCAGGGCCCTCTGGTGGGGCGGGGAGACTGTCCAAGCCCGCCAGACCCCTTCTCGCCGCAGCGGCTGCTTGCGGAAGGAGGCACCTACCCGACATGACTAACGGCCGCGGCGCGGAGCCCCCCACAGCCCGCGGAGAACAAGGAAAACGAGAGCCAGGCGGCACAGCGGCCTGAGCTGTTCTGAGGGCTGCGCGGCGGGCTGAAGCCGATTGCGGGGCCTCGGCAGCCAATCAGCGGGTGGCGGACCGTACCATAGTGCCAAGGCAAGAGGGGTGACTCTTCACCAACACTAGCCTCCGACCCCTGAGTCCCTCTCGGTTCTCCCCTTCACGGACTGTACCATTATTGAGAGGGAATTGAAAAGGGAAAGTACCAATGTCATTGTAAGGATGGGGGAGAAGTGGAGCCAACTCCTGTTTCAGTCGCGCTTACTGTCTTATTTCTCACTTTGTTCGGATCTAACAGAACTCGAGGTTAGTCAACGAAGGAGGAAGTACTTCCAAAACACAGACTATGGATTTAGAAATTCTCTCTCTTCCCCTCAAATTTGGAATGGTATGACCCAATCTCTGGGTCTCTCTGGGCTATTGCGTTCGCGCTTGAACCACCTGGGGGCGTTCGGAATCGGATGAGCTCCGAGCTGAGCTCCCGACTGAACTTTGGTACTTGATCACCTGGGGACCTGATGACCCCCTTTGCGGAACTGAACACTGGTGAGACCGGAAGAAGTGATGGCTCACTCCTGTGATCCTAGCCACTCAGAAGGCTGAGATCTAATGATTGCACTTTGAAGCCAGTTTGAGCAAGCCGGTTCAAGTAATAAAAGGACCAGCCAATGAACTTTCGGAAAAGCTAAGGGGCAAGCCCTGCGTTCAAGATCCAGTACGGGTACGCGCGCGCGCGCACACACACACACACACACACACACACACCCCTACCTGACCTCGACACACACACACACATACACACACACACACACACACACACACACCCCTACCTGACCTCGAGAATGGGTATGGAGCTCTATTTCTCAGTACCACAGTAACAGCTAACTACGCGCGCGCGCGCACACACACACACACACACACACACACACACACACACACACACACACACACACACACACACACACACCCCTACCTGACCTCGAGAATGGGTATGGAGCTCTATTTCTCAGTACCACAGTAACAGCTAACTACTAATTGTCGGCACCTTACATCATCTAATTCTCAAAGCAGACTGATGAAATGTTTCCCCATGTTGCACATAAAGTAGAATTCCCTAGTCTCAGGCCATACAGATAGCCAAGGGCCAAGTGAATTGTCCCGGTGGTTAAGCCTACAGCATTGCTTATGGGTTTAGCCATAATGTTAAACATACAGTCAGCTCAATAGTAGGAGTAGGGGCTGAGAAAGCTCAAAGGACTAACAAAGACATTTTCCCAGAGTATGTGCTGTCTGAGCCAAAGTCTGGGTAATTAGCAGAAATTGACGGAGTTGAAAGTGGGCAAAAATATGTCCAGACTAGTTGTAGAACAAGTAACTCGATATGTTTAAAGTAATTCAAAGCCGGGCTCTGGTGGCTCACGCCTGTAATCCTAGCTACTCAGGAGGCTGAGATCTGAGGATCACGGTTCAAAGCCAGCCCGGGCAAGAAAGTCTGTGAAACTCTTATTTCCAATAAACCACCAGAAAACCAAAAGTGGCACTGTGGCTCAAGTGTAGAGTGCTCGCCTTGAGCTGAAGAGCTGAGGGACAGCACCTAGGCCCAGAGTTCAAGCCCCATGACCGACAAAAAAAAAAAAAAAAGCAATTCAATACCTTTGGAGTGTAGCCTCCAGGGGACAGTAGAACATGTCAGAAAAGTAAGAGGCTAAATAGTCGAAACCTTGTAAAGTAGATTTGAATTTGAACTTTTTTATCTTGGAGGTAATAGGACTTTAACTAAAAGTAATATCAGATTTGTATTTTCCAGCTACAGAATAAAGGATGCATGGAGATGAGCCTAGAAACCAATCAAGTGGTCAAAGAAATCATTCTAAAGAGATACCAAAGTGCTTGGGAATAGAGTCATAGCTGTGGAGATGGAGGTCAAGTGCACAGATTCCCAGATACACTTTGGGCTAGACCACGCAAGAGTTGATCAGTTTGGCTGGAAAGGACTAGCACAGAGAGACTAGTCTGAGGTGTCTTTTGGGTTTCCTGCATGCAAAAGTGGCTAGATACAGGTGTCATTCACTGTATTGGGGAAGAAGAAAAAGAGAATGAAATGGAAGTGAAAGAGGAAGTTCATAATTAATGCCTTTAGATAAGAAAAAAAAGCATGGGGCCATCTCTTCTCATTATACCTCTAGAGGGAGTCAATGAACCCCTTCCCTGAAAATAGGAAATAGATCATTGCTATTTCCCAGGGAGCTACAGAACAAGCAAGGCTAAAGCAATAAAAATTATGACACAGCCATCAATTGTTTGGTATCTATACTGAGGAACGGCAGTCCAGAGGAGATGAGCATGTGCACTATCAGGAAAGAATCTAGCTAGAAAGGGAAGAAGGGAAGGTTTTAAGTATTTAGGGCCGGCAGAGGGTTAAAGCATGAAATACAGGGAGTATTACTCATCATTGGCTCATTGTCTGTACGACAGAAATATATTATACAGACCCATCTCTCCCTTGGACACTGTGGTAGAAGTTAAGCATTGTTAGTGCATTGTTAAATAAACTACTGTTTATAAGCTTTTGCTATAAGCATATTTTTGTAAGATTATTTTTTTCTTTAAATGTACTGAGATATTGGGCACAGGGAAGACAACTTCCTAAGTGACACATGCTAGACCCTTCTCCAGGGTGGCTGCTTTGAGCAAAGGCCTACCAATCAGATCATGCCAATACCAAAGCACAAGTCCAGTACCAGAAGATCTGTGACTGATACAAACACAGTCCTTCCTTTATATAATAAATTGTATCAGGGCTGGGAAGGTGACTCAGTGGTAGAGTGCTTGTCTTGCAAGCATGAGGCCCTGAGTTCGATTCCTCAGCACCACATAAGCAGAAAAAAATGGAAGTGCTGCTGTGGCTCAAGTGGTAGAGCGCTGGCCTTGAGCCGAAGAGCTGAGGGACAGCGCCCAGGCCCAGAGTTCAGGCCCCACGACTGAGCAAAATAAATAAATAACTATTGTTTCATGATTGTTAAATGTAATGGGACCATTGTGATTGTTCCCCACGCCCATCCTCGCCCCCTATAAAAGAAGGCTGCTCCTAGGGAAAGGGAGGGAGGGCAAAGGAAAGGAGGAGAAAAATAGATATTGCTGTTTTCTGTATTTTGTAGGTGATGAACCCTGAAGCTCTGAAAGATGAAATTCTTTAGCAAGTTCACATGGCCAGTTATGAACAGAAGCAGAGCTTCTACCAGGCCGTTAAGCCAAGCTCAGTGATCCCTTTGCTCTCAAACTTGAAACTTCCCCCAGGTCCATGCTGTTCTGAGGCTTCTTTCCTTACCACAGGCAGCCTCGCAGACTGCCAGTTGTACCATGCCTCCTGTCTTTGAGGCTTTTTCTTGCCTTGCAGATGATGCGATTGGGAATGATTATATCTGCAATAAGTAGTACATCAGCTCTAACAGATTTTTAAGAAGACCTCTTAACCCCCAACTCATTCCTGACATCCATACTTGAGGAGCTTGCACCTATCCCTGCAGATTGTGTTGTTTTAGTTCAAAATAATTCCTTCCTGCAGGACTGGAGTTGTGGCCTCTGGTTCTATTCCCAGTCTTGCAAAGAAAAAGAAAGGAAAATTAGAAGAGATGAAGACATGTCTTCTATCTCAGCCACAAAGGAGGACTACCCTTACCAGGGGTGTCCAGAGCTCCAGTTTCCATGGTAACCCTGGCTCTTGGACTGTAGACCCGGCCTCCTGTCCTTGTCCCTCCGTTCTGTGGCTGGCAGAGTTGTGTTGTTTTTACGTGTTCATTATGTATAAGGGTTCTTTCCCCTCCTTTTCAATTTGCCAGATAACTTCACAGTTTCTCCTGTAATGCCTGTTGAGCTTGCCATCCCGTCCCACCCCTGGTATAGGCCTTGTAAGGACAGCATCAGGACTGACAATTTACTTAGCACAAAAGGCTGTCACCTGAGATGGCCATTTGAGCAGAGATCTGACCTGTTTTTACCAAAGTTTCTCTGGCTAATGTTTGGAGAATACAATAGACTCTGAATGGCAAGGCCAGGGAAGGGAAGCAAGGAGAACTTATGGTTAGACCACAGTGAACCTCAGGCCACAGTGGAATCCTGTGGAACCCAATGGTCAGACCACAAAATTCAAAGCTTTCATATTTTGCCAATTTGTTCTCTAATTGGGTATGACATACTTCCTCTCTAACCTTCCAATGTCTAGCACAATGCCCAAAACAATAGACAGTTTTTTTAAAGGAAGGAGGAAAACTTCATATTTCATGAACAAATAAATAAAAACAATAACAAAACCACATGACTTGTATTTCTAACCCGTCAGTAAACTCCTCAAGATTTAAGAACTTATCTAGAACTTTCCTATGTCACCTCTGAAGCACAAAGTGTTCCATGAGTGTCTGTTGAAAGAATGACAGCCACTCTGTGTCAAGTGCTACAGATAGAATTTAGCCATTGTTACCACCTTCCCTCCCCCTGCTCCCCAGAGAGGTGTCACCAGAGCCCAGTTCCTCTGGCCTTCCTCGAGAGCAGGCCTCCCAGGGCCAAGTACCTAAGCAGGAGACTCCTTATAAAAGACCCAACTGCCCCATCCTGTCCTCTGATTGTGGCAGGCGTTTCCTGTTTGGGGTGGAAAGGAACCAGACACTTTCCTGTTAGCAGGTCTTTTAAGCAAAGTAGCAGATGCTGAGCAGGTCTTGGCCCAGCCTTTCAGGCCAGATGCCTGGCGGGCAGACAGACTCTAATGTGGACGGGAAATGGGGCATTGGGCCAGATTGGCCAGGCTTTTATTGTGCTCCTTACAAATCTCCTGGGTCCTGGTTGTGAGTAAAGAAACAAAGCAGAAGAAACTTACACTTTGCTTAAACATGATGTACATTAGAGAAGACACACCTGCTCTGAGCTGGAGAGCATTGCCCAGGACAGAGGTGCTTCTGTGATTGTTCTGGGCTATATTGCCAGGATGTAAGCCTGCTAAAGTGTGAAACTGCAAAGAATAAAACACACAG